CAGGGCATCTGGTGGATTCAAGCTGTGCACCTCTGGGATTACAGTGCAGCTTCTTGCCACTAGGCCACCAGCGCTCCCAAAATTTTAAAATTTTTAAAATTTTAAATTTAAAAAATTTAAAAATTTTAAAAAGTAAAACATATTTATATTTTCTAAGTAGTTTTATAATTTTTTGAATGTTGTTGTGTACCATCGAGTCAGAACTGACCCACAGCTGACCCCTCCAGTGGATTTTCAGAGCAGTTAATCACAGGGGAGGAGATTGTGCATCTTTCTCGCGTGGAACAGCCCGTGGATTCGAACCATGTGGCTTTGGCTTCTTGCCAACAGGCCACCTATATAGGTCATATACATGGTTAGATTTATTATTAGATATATTCCTGATACTATTTAAATTTTTTTTTCTTTATGCTTTATACTATTGTTGCTCTTGTATTGAAATCCAATTGATATCTGCCTACTACTGATTTGTATATTAGCAGTCTGGCAAAACTCTATTAATTCTAATAAGGATATCTGGTTTTCTACATACACTGTGTTGTCATCTCTAAATAATGCTGATTTCCCTTTTCCCTCTCCAATCCTTAAAACTTTTACCTTTTGTGCTTGCTTCGGCACATATACAAAAATTGGAACAATACAGAGATTAGCTTGATCCCTGCACAAGGATGACATGCAAATTGATGAAGTGTTCTGTATTTTTTTAAAAAACAAACCAAAAAGAACAAAAACATTTACCTCTTTTGCTTGCTTGGCTTATAGATGTGGCCAAAAACTGCAGCAAACTGTTAAACTGAAGCCTTAATAATAGGAACTCTCATCTTATTATAGACTGTAAAGGGAATATTTTACTTTCAGTTTCTTAAAAAACAGAAATCCAGTTGATAAAAAAATAGTCTCTTAAAAAAAATAAATAAAAGCAAGGCTTAAACATTTGACCATAAAATATGATAATCATTACAACTAAGACTTTGTATCTTACCATTTCTTTCAAGATGGTTTATAATTACTGGTTGCTGAATTTTTATAATTGCTGCTTTAAAGTCTGTCAAATTATTCCAACATTTATGCCATCTCAGTGTTAGCATCTGTTGATTGTGTTTTCCTGTGTGAGTTGAGACTGTCCTGGTTCTTCATATGATGAATAATTTTGAATTGTATCCTCAGCACTCCAGATGTTGTAATAATTTGTTGTTGTATTCAAAGCATCTTAAACATTAAGCTATGAGGTCTTGTTTAAATCTGGTGGATCCTATTGATACCTTTGTTTAGCAGGCAATCAACTAGTTTCAAGCTGTAAGTTCTGACAAGCCTTTGGTCGATTATACATTCAAGTCAATTCCATTTCCAAGTCCTCTGAACAGCGTCCATTCAGTGTCCATAGAGATCTAAGTGGTGTTATACCCTTTAGTTCAGTTTTCAAAAAGTACATTATTGAGACTCTGATACAAACATGCTCAGTTTAGGCGTTAGCTTGATAGTCATAAACTTATGGCTGCTTTCCTAAGCAACTCTTCCTTTGTTTCTCCTCATGTACTTTCCAGTACACACTGGACCTTCCCTCTTTGATACTCTAGTAAAAAACAATGGCTTTGGTTACCACATTTCACTATTACATAATTTACCGACTGTGCCTAAATCCAAGGCCAAAGCAGTAGGAAGGCAGAGGGTGAAATGTGAGTAGATTTCACTTCATCTGTTGAGACAACATAGCCTTTAATTAGAAAGGAAAGTTCTCCTCCCTGAAAGGGCTATTACATAATGTCGGTTTCAACTCATAGTGCTGATATGTACACTGACGGAAACCTTGACCAGTCTTGAACCAAGCTCACAATTTCTGTTCTATTTAAGCCCAACATTTGCAGTTACTGTGTCAATCCACCTCTCTTTGTGGGGTGTTTTCTCTTTGCTGATGCTCCCCTTTTCCAACCAAGTATGATATTCAATACTCTCTGCCATCACCACAGTTCAAAGGCACTGCTTCTTTTTCAGGCTTTCTTATTCATTGCCCAACTTTCACTCTCATTTGAAGCAACTGAAAATATCATAGTTTGGGTCAAGTGTTAGGTGCCTGCACGTTTTACTGCTGTCACTGTCACTACCACCATGAGAAACCCCCTCCTTACTCATTTTAGTGATAGCCCTCCCTCCTGTTCACTCTATCAGGGAATTTATTTCTTTGCTTTGCTTTATAATTTTAGTACCTAACTATGCATCTAAACAAATAGAATTTTCTTTGATATTTAACCTTATATGAGTGGAATACACAGTATATATTGTTTTGTCTGAGTATTTTATTCAACAGTGTGTGTGTGTGTGTGTGTGTGTGTGTGTGTGTGTATGTCTGTGAGAGAGAGAACACTGTGTTTAGAATTAGCTAAGCTTAGATGATCCCAATTTTGTTGGCACCACCCAAAGCATCATAGTCAGGAGCAAGTCGAGCATAAGCCTTCTCTCTCCATCAGGCCTAATCAAGGTGTTGACCTTGGCTTCTTTACAACTTGTTTAATTTGGTGCTTGTTGGCCTTGACATCCACAATGAACACAAGTGTGTTGTTATCTTCTTCATGGTTGACCCAGTGGTCAGGAGAAACTTCATGATGGCATAGTGGTCAAGCTTGTTCCTCCTGGGGGTGCTCTTCTGGGGATATCTGGGCTGCCTTCGGAGTCTCAGTGTCATAGGTCACCAGAAGGTGGATGATGTACGGATCTTCCTTTTTTTGTGTGGCTTCTGGCCTTTAATACCTTAGCTGTGGCTTCAGGTTTGGGAGGGGTAGGGGCTTCCATGTTTGCTTTCAGCATCATCTTCTTAGAACAATATGTTTTAAAGATTCATTCCTGGCATCTCCTCCACATTTCCTTTAAGGGAGGGAGACCTGTCCCTTTGGGATGTAACTTTCTAATAAATGTATCTTTACTTTTGATTTAAAAAAAAAAAGACAAAAAAAAAGATTCATTCATATTGTTCAGTTTTACTGATATACCATATTAATTATATGAAGATAACAGTTTAAAATCCATTCTAATATTGTTAGGTATTTTATTTTTTTAATTATGAATAATGCTCTCATGAATCTTGGACATGGTCATTTTTAATTATGAACAATGCTCTCATGTATCTTGGACATTTAAAGCCAAAACCAAACCCACTGCCATTAAATCAATTCAAACTCATAGTGACCCTGCAGGACACAGCAGAATATCCTGTAGGGTTTCCAAGGTGATACATCTTTATGAAAGCAGATTGTCACATCACTCTCCTTCAGAATATCTTCTGGGTTTGAACTAGTGATCTTGCAGTTGGCAGCCAAGCACTTTAACTACTTTGCTCTACTGTGCCACCAGGATGCCCTTCTTACACACAATGCCTAGAATATATAAGTATCTATTTCTGTAAGAAATATACATAAAAAGGCAAGTGTCAAATTATGGGAGATATATGAAAGTGATTTATCCTGCCTCAGCATTTTAGTAGAAAAGCCTCAAGGATACAAGATGTAGAACAGAAAAGATGGCATTGGAGAACATAGGAGATCTAGAGACTGAGATGAGTGACCTGGGAGTGTTTACTTCACAACTCTGAACATTAGTTTTACCTATCTATCTATAGTTTAAAAACATACTATCTACTTTGCAAAGCTACCTGAAGGGATAACCTCGATAAGCATAAAGTCCTCAGCACACTGATGGCATATAGTTGTTGCTGTTGTTGTTTTAGGTGTTGCTGACTTGTGTATAGTTAGTTACCCTACAAACAACAGATCCGAACCCTGTCCCATCCTGCACCATTCTGATTACCCCCAACACACTTAAGCCCGTTGGCATAGTCACTGTATCAATTCGTCTCGCTGAGGGTCTTCCTCTCTTTGCTTGACTCTCCACTTTTCTAAGCATGATGTGCCTTTCCAAGGAACAGCCTCTCCTAACAACATGCCCAAAGTATGTGAGTCAAAGTCTGCCATCACTGCCTCCAGGGAGCACTCTAGCGGCACATTCTCTGAGACATATGTTTTTGTTCACCATCTCACTTCTGACAAGGTGAAGTGGAATACAGTAGGCACTCAATAAATGGGAGCAGCTGTGATTATATTCATTGAACATTTCTTACCCTACCTATCTGCACCATCCCAACTGCCTGAGCCTTACAGGTATTTTAGGAAATATCAATCTATTGTTTTCAATAACAAAATGGATTAACTGTCCTAACGGGGCTAAAAATTCTTGCTGGTATTAATGGGTCACAGTGATGGCACAAAGCCCATTCTCTTCTTGTAAACAACAGGCTTGGTTTGCACAGATACTCTTCTCAGAGCAAATTCCCAATGACAGCAAGCTGAAAAGTCAATGCAAGCTCTTCACTGTTCACTAACAATAAACACAGTGGTGCGAAGCAGGTAGGCTGCCGCAGGCTTAGAAGAGTTAAGAGCTTCTGAATCTGGTTGAGTCTGTGTAATGCGTGTTACTATTTGTGAGCACATATGGTTTCGCCTGCATGCATTTTAGTGCGGCGTGCTACTTTTCTCACCTGGAGGGGGCATGCATTTAAGCATGTGCAGATGTTAACACTGAGTATACATCCTCTTGGGATTGTGATGCTCTCAGCAGCCTGACATTCTGCTGGACATTCCTGACGCAGATCTACTCCAGAATGCCCAGGGCTTTGGGTTTCTCAGTGCCCTACACACCATTCCCTGAGATAAGATATATGCAAAGAAACCTAACACTCTATTGTATGAACCTGGGCCAGTCTGAATGAAGAGGAGCATCTATTTTGAAACTCTCAGTCTACACTTTTAAACCAATTGGCAAAGTTTCCCAGATGCTGTATTCCATTGCTGCTGCCTAGTTCAAGAGTCACTGGAAAGGTTTCTTGAGACGTTCCCCATAATGCTGAGATATTCCATTGCCCTCCCAAGACACCCCCCCGCACCAGTAGGTGCCATCCATAGAATGTTCAGTGCTGAGAGTTGAAAGGATGATAGAGGGGGAAGGATTGGTACCTGAGCCTAGTGTCTGTCCAGCGGAGTCAAAGGAAAGAACCACTGAATCTGCAACACAAGAGGACAAGTTCATTTCTTTCTCCTTCTTACAATAATACCAACAAAACCCCCAAACAAACAAGCTCCCAGGGACAGACTTGAGCTGCACAGAGAGCCTTCACAGGTGCCCAGTCCCCCAGGGAATGGGCAGGGGGGCCTTGCTGAACCCAGTACCCCTGTATCCTGCCACTGGGAGGAACTCTCAGGGCAGAAACTAGTCCCAAATTCTTCACAGGTATTTCCTGGCAAATTAGGATACAAATTTATTTCTTTTTCCTTTAGGTAGTAAAAACAAACAAACAAAAAACACATTAAAACATAGCAAAAGAAAATTCCCCTCCTGCATCTGATTAAAGGGACTAACATTTCCCCTTTGACCTTTCCCTTTCTTCTCTTATCCACATATCGGATTGTTTATTACTTCTTCCAAAACAGACTTTAGAATGGCCTATGAGAATTTACAGCATTTAGTGGAATAGAAAGAAATTAAGAAGTCCAAGAAAGGGAAACTATTATAGAGACAGGGGAATGTTAGTACACAAAAGGCATGCCATGCAAATCTACACAAAAGATCCAGGTGGAAGGCAGGGAGGACCTGAGCTTCCAGACAGCCAATGGGGAAAAGAAGAAAGCAAAGGGTTATCCAATTCAGCATCCAAAATCAATTCAAACATTCAGTAAATACTAACTGTGCATCTCCTATGTGTAAGATACTGTACTAGGATTTTGAGAGATCTCAGAGAATAAAAAAAGCATGGTCCCTGCCCTCAAGGTTCTCCCTGCTATCTGTCTAGGAGTAAAAAAAGTTACCAAACAATTAATTACTTAACCAAACACTAAGTATGGACAAAAGAAAAAACGAGAGAACTGTGCAATTCTATTATTAGTAACCAGATCTAGTTTAGAAGGAGAACTATACATAGGTTGGCTAGTGAATGCTTTCCTGAAGGAGTGGCAATTGAATTAACAAGGTAAAAAGAGGTAAGAGTTAAATCTGACATGAATGGAGTGGGGAATTCCAGGCTGAGAGAATGCCAAAGGTGGGGGCCCTGAAGCAAGATGGATCAGGGTGCTTTGGAGTTACGGAAAGGTCTGAACATCAAAGCAAACTCTTAACAGTCATCAGACAGAAATTTCTCTTGTGGGTTTTATGAAAGGGGATGCTGAATGATATTGTAGACTCTATCTTTCACAACAGTTCTGTAATAATTCATGCGGCTCTTAGATAGCTGTTTCTTATAACATGTGCCAATGCTAAATAATGGCATGAAGCCAATTACACAATAGTTATCATGAGACTGAGTAACATCTGTCTCCACTGCTAGACTGTATGTTTCATAAATGCAGGTCTGCTTTAGTCACTGTTGCATGACCATCATGACACCTGACACCTGACACTCCAAAATACATTTAAAGAAATGAATGGCTGGTAGGTATACTGTTTGGAAATCCTTCATAAATTTTCTTTTCTCCAAACCAAGGATTTATTTACTAAGAAAGGGTGACAGAAAGTTAGAAATTGTGGTTTTGGATGAGGACTCAGAGGGCAGATATTCTGGTTTGCCAGTTGAGGACAGATCCATCTACTTCGAAATTGACCAAGTAAAATGTAGGGTTGACATATTTTTACAGAAATGACAGGTTTTTACAGATGCAGAATAGACTCTTGGCTGAAGAAACAGGTGATTATCCTTGCTTCAAATAATCAACAGCTGATTCTATCAGTTCCACTTTTTTATTAACATTACTCATATCTTTGTCTCTTGAAATATCACAGTCTTTTCAGAAAAGAAGACTGGATTTTTTTTCTCATTAAAAATAATAGTAAAAACAGCTTTATTGCAGTACAACTGGCATACTACAAAACTCACTTATTTTAACTGTACAACTCAAAAACTTTTAGAAAATTTACGGAGTTGCATAATCATCATCACAATCCAACTGGAGAGAGTTTTCATCACTCCCAAAGAATCCCTTGTTATCCATTTACAGTCATTGCTAGTCTCCACCACCAGTCCAGGCAACCACTAATTCCCTGTCTCTAGAGACATGCCTTTTCTTTTTTTTTTTTTTT